TATAAAACAAAAACAGAAAGAAGCTGCCCCCAAAAAATAGCTACACACAAAAGAACAAGTATATAAAATAGAAAACAGAATCTACCTCAATTGATGTGCAAGTTTAAGACCTCTGAAAACATGAGGAAACAGGCAAAAAAAAATTACCCCCAAAATTCACATTCCCCAACAAAAGGATTCTGCAGATATAGAAGTGAAAAAAATTCCAGAGAAAGATTATAAAAAACTGATTAGAAAACATTCAATGAACTAAAAGAAAATCTAAGGAATGAATTAAGAAAGAAAATACAGGAGATAAAAGACCACATCAATAAAGAAATAGAAACATTTGAAAAGAAACCAACCAGAAATCCTGGAATTGAAAGACAAATCAAATTAAAGATTTATTTGAAAGCATCACCAACAGATTAGCTTACATAGAAAACAGAACTTCAGCCCTTGAAGATGGGATACATGAACTTGAGTACACGGGATATAATAAAGGAAAAAGAAATGATATAACATGATAAGAATATACACATATACACGAACTCTGAGACAACATCAAGAGAGCAAACCTAAAAAGGAGATTTCAAGCAAAAATGAATCAGAAGCTACAAAAAAGACTGCTACATCCTGGTAAGGGGAACAATCCAACTAGAACATATAGCAATAGTAAGTATATATGCCCAAAATGTCAGTGCACCTAATTGCATTTAAAAAATTCTCCTGGGCATTATATCTCAGATAGACTCATTACAATAATTCTGGGTAATTTCAAAACACCCTTATCACCAATAAACAGGTCATCAGAATATAAAATAAATAAAATAATTTCAAACCTAAATAATACTATGAATTAAATTCATCTAATATATATTTACAGAATATTTCACCTCAAAACACCTGAATATTTTATCAAAACACCTTATTCTCAGCAGTTCATTAAACATTTTCCAAAATGTACTATATTCTAGGTCACAATTTAAGTTTCAGCAAATACAAAAAACAATTAATATAATCCTGTGCCTCCCATCAGATCATAATGACATGGAACTAGAAATCAACAATAGGAAACAACAGAAACTACACAAGCACAAGGAGATCGAATAATACTTTTTTTAAATAAATAAATCAAAGAAGAAATGAGAGAAGAAATCAAGAAATGTTTTAAATAAATGAGAACAGAAGTATAATATGAAAGCATTTCAATAAGAAAATTTATAATATTGAGTGCTTATATAAAAAAAGATAATAAATGAATTTATGTTCCAACTCAAGGCTTTAGAAAAAGAACAAACTAATTCCAAACTCAGTAAAAGGAAATAATTAAGATTTAAAGCCAAAAATAATAAAATTGAGAAGAAAAAATACACAAGATAATGTAATAAGGAGTCTTCAAAAACATAAATAACCCTAAGCCAAACTCACCAAGAGAAAGAGAAAAGACCCAAATCAACAAAATTATAAATGAAAATGCAGATATCACCACAGAAACTTCTTAGATCCAAAGAATTATTAGAAATTGCTTTGAAAATGTATACTCCAATAAACTGGAAAATCTAGAAGACACTGAAAATTTTTTTACACATAAATGACTTGCCCAAATTAAAACAAAAAATATAGAAAACCTAAACTGACAATTATCAAAGAATGAAATTGAAAAAGCAATTAAAAGCCTTCCAAGAAAGATAAGCTGAAGACCAGATGCATTTTCAGCTGAATTTTTCCAGACCTTTAAAGAAATAATACCAATCATTCTCAAATTATTCCATGAGATTGAAAGGGAGGACACACTCCCAAGTACATTCTATGAAGCCAGTATAACCCTGATACCAAAACCAAAGGCACATCAAGGAAAGAACAGTACAAATCAAAAACCTTGCTGAACACAGATGTAAAAATCCTTAATAGAATATTAGCAAACTGCATACAAAAAAACATCAAGAAGATAATACACCATGTTCAAGTGGATTTTATCTCAGAAATTCAAGGTTGGATGAAGAGACACAAATCAACAAATGTAATTCAGCACATAAATAGAACTAAGAATCAAATAGAAACTAGAATTAAATAGAAATTAAGACTTAAATAAAAACAAGAATCACATGATCATCACAATAGATGAAGAAAAGAACTCTGATAAAATCCAGCACCTACTCAGGTCAGTAATTCTGAAGAAGCTACCTATAGAAGGAAATATCCCTAGAATAGAAGGAACATTCCATTATATTAGTAATGGCACCAGCATCTTTAACAAGAAACCTAAAACTCAAGAAATAAAACCAAGAATCAATAAATGGGATGACAACCAGGGGCAGTGATGCACACCTGTAATCCCAACAGCTCAACAGGCTGATGCAAGAGGATCACAACTTCAAAGCCAGCCTCAGCAACATAGCAAGGCCCTAAAGTAACTTAGACCATGTCTCTAAATAAAATATTAAAAAGTGCTAAGGATGTGGCTCAGTGGTTAAGCACCCATCGGTTCATTCTCTGGTACAAAAAAAAATGGGATGCCATCGAATTAAAAACTTCTGCACAGCAATGAAAATGATTAAAACTGTGAGGAGAGACTGTACAGAATGGGATAAAATCTTTGCCAGTTGCTACTAGAACAAGAGATTAATATCCAGAATATATAAAGAACTCAAAAAATGTAATAAAAAGAATAATTTATTCAACAAATGGGCAACAGAACTAAACAGATATTTCTCAAAATAAAATACAGAAATGAACAAATACAAATATGAAAAATGTTCAACATCTTTAGCAGTCAAATAAATGTAAATAAAAATACACTAAGATTTCATCTTACTCCAGTCAGAATGGCAATGATCAAGAACACAACAACAATAAATGCTGGTGAAGACGTTGGGGAAATGCACACTTGTACACTGTTGGTAGGACTTCAGACTGGTACAAGTACTCTGCAAAAAGCAATGTGAAGAGTCCTCAAAAAACTAAGAATTTAACCACCATGTGACTGAGCTATCCTACTCTTTAAAATTTACCCAAATTTTAAATTTAAGAATCAAAATCAATATACTATAAAAATTCAGCTACTTTGATGTTTATAGGAGTACAATTGACAATAACTAAATTATGGAGTCAACTTAGATGACCATAATAGTTGAATAGATTATATATATATATATTTGTATATAATTTCTTATACTATATACACATAAAAAATGAAATTTTACTCAAATAAGAAGAATGAAATTATGGCATTTGCTGATAAATGGGAGGAAATGAAGAACATCATACTAAGTAAAATAAGCCAAACTCAGAAAATCAAGGGTCAAATGTTCTCTTTCTTTTATGGAAACTAGAGTAAAATAAAAAAAAAAAGAAGGAGGGGAGGATTGGATATCATAAAGATCTATGGAAAACCAATAGAGTAGGGATCAAGAGGGAGAGGGGAAGGATGGTAAATTAGAGAAAATGCAAAATTAATTTTAAAATATTGTGCTATGTGCATATATAAATTCACCAAAGGATTTTTCAACTATATGTATAAATAGAAAGAACCAAATCAAAAATAAATAGATGAGGGAACAGAAGGCCAGTAGAGTAGAAAAAGGGGTATCGGGGTGAGAGGAGAGGGAAAAAGGGGGAATATGAACACAAATCAAATTCCATGCACATATGATTGTGTCAGATTAAACCCAAATACTATGTATAATTATAATGCCTTAATTTTTAAATGTTGAGAAAATTAGCATTTAAATATAAATTAATAAATAAGTTGATATTTTATGTGTAAATATGTTCAATAGATGTAATTTCAACTTTCTATTTTTAAATCATTCTTTGGTTTTGCATGTTTTTTCATTTGGTTTAGTGGAGGGTTATTGAATATGGAAAAATTAAGACAGATTTGAAAATTTATGTTGAAAAATAACTGGGGCAATAAATTACTAAAAATTTCATGGTAAATTTTACTGCTTAAAAGTGATTTACCCGAACAAGTAATAAAATTTACTGCTTTCTGTGATTGGCACAGATTAAAACAAATAGAACAATAAAACTAAAAAAATAAAGTAGAAACATATTATACTGAAAGTGGAAATTTAATATTTTTAAAGTATGGTAACTGTTTTAGGAGAAAATGATCCCTTATCTACCTATAAAGAGGTCTCTGTGGGGTGGATCCACCACATACCCAAGAGCCACTAGTTACTAAGCTTTCCATAGATGTGAAGGGTGAAACAAAAGCTTTCGGTATGGGAATGGGGCTCTTCCATGTTACAGTTAAGAAGAGGTAACTCTTAGAACAAAGATTGTAACATAATAGACACTTAGAAAGTAAATATGAGTAACTTCAAGGAAAGCAAATGTAAGTCAAAAATCATTAAATTGTATGAATCAGCATGATCTTTCTTAGAGAGAGAGAGAGAGAGAGAGAGAGAGAGAGAGAGAGATTTCAAGGCATTCCCTATTTTAAAATACACTAGAAACATGATCTTTATTCAATGAATACTTATTAGAAAATTTGCTCTGAAAATCCCAAGAGTTCATACATATTTTATGACTTTTCAGTCATAGGTTTCTGAACTACTTTAGCCAATTCTTTGAGTTAAATTTTATATCCAAATGACAGATTGTTTATTGTACTTATTCTTCCTTTTCTATCTTCTGTAAAAATTCTGAGCCAGGTGTAGGGGCACATGCCTGTAATCCCAGCAGTTCAAGAGGCTGAGACAGGAGTATTTTGAGTTCAAAGCCAGCCTTAGCAAAGGCAAGGTATTAAGCAACACAGGGAGACCCTGTCTCTAAATAAAAACTACAAAATAGGGCTGGATGTGCTTAGTGCTCAAGTGCCCCTGAGTTCAATCCCCAGTACCAAAAAAAAAAAAAAAAAAAATCTTTATCCACATTCAATCCAAAGATTCAGGAAAACGGCTGGTTTGTTTAGTGATAATCCTGATGTGGTCTATGAACCTAGACAGGGGTTCCTCAGAGTGAGTATTTTCCCTCCAACCCCAGGCATGAGCTGACACAGCCCTGGCCACTTCCTATCTGGGGTGGCCATTCCCTGCCTTGGTCCCTACAGCAGGTGGCTGTCTCAGGCAGACCCTGGGTTTTTGTGCACCTCCCTCCAACAGTCCTCCCACTGTGCCCTCTCTCAGTGCACAGAAATACACCGCTGAGTCCCCCAGCTGTGAGGCTGAGATGACAAGCTGGATGGATTTGCTTGCCTTCTGCAAATTCACTGAGTAGCGACCTTTTGTGGCATTTTGCTGGCTGTAAGAGTTCTGAAGGATGAGGAAGTCCATCTCCCCACTGCTGGGCTGCTTGTACCAGAGGAGATCGTAACTTACAGTACTGGTGTCATAGGAGCAGAGCAGGCTCACAGCCTCCTTCTCCTGCACCCACATGGCTGGCTGGGCCTGAGTCACATTCTGGGCAAAACTGGATCCTGAAGGAAAAAAAGACAGAATCAGAAAGTTGAGAGACAAGTGGTGTGGGACAAAAAAGTGCATTTTTGCTCACTGCCAACCCTTCCTTCTAAAGTCCCTTTAAAGCTATTCTATTCCTCAGTTTCTTGGTCACAGAGGAGACCCCTTCCCACAGGGACCATCCCTACCCAGCCACACAGACACCATGACCAGCTTCAGCAGCCTGGGCAGCACCATGTTGGTGTTCTTCCTCTAGATGAAAAGGATCTGTTTACTCTTGGATTTCAGGCTCTGCACTGGGAGGGGAGCCCAACAGGGTGAGAGAGGAACCCCTGGGCTATGAGCTGCTGCTGCACCAGAGCAGGAAACAGAGGCTTCCTGGAGCAGGAGGTGGCATGTGTCATCTTAAACTTCTCTGTGGCTGGCTGATGGTCTCACCAACACAGACTTCAGATCTGGCACTAGAGTCACACTAAATCTGATTATGCCACAAACAGGACAACTGTTCTGCTCTCTACTAAATGGAACATTTTCTACCAGGAGGATGACTAATTAATTAAAGAGATACAATGAAATTCTTCTCATACTATTTAAATCTGTTATACTGTACATTCACAGAAATCTCATGATTGTATTTATGTTATTCAAAAAGTGTCCAGACTGGGCATAGTAGAACACCCCTATAATCCCAGCAGCTCTGAAGGCAGAGACAAGAGAATTGCGAGTTCAAAGCTGGCCTCAGCAATTTAGCAAGGCACTAAGCAACTCAGTGAGACCCTGTGTCTAATGAAATACAAAATATGGCTGGGGATGTGGCTCAGTGGTCAAGTGCCCCTTAGTTCAATTCTGGTAATCCTCCCCACCAAAAAAAGTGTCCATATCCAGAAAAGATATTTTTGACAGTCTCATACCAAATTAGAATTAAATTTTACTTCAATAAAGTTAATACCAGATTCCAATATATATCTAGTCATCAAATAGAAGGAAAATTAACTTAGGTTGCTAAATTTGTGGATCCCTTTGAGGAAGGTGAACACAAAAAATATATACAGTGATGTCAGCATCTTTCAATGAACTTAAAAACCTCTAGGACTTCAGAGACTATGATGTTTCTTAACCCTATTAGCCTCTTCTTAATCTGATACTTCAATTGAAAATAGACCCTAAATACTTAAAATACATGATGTCTTCATGATAATCATAGAAATTTTGTCATGAAGACAAGATTCCACACTATAAGAGTCACCACAGAAGCTGGGGAGGGGATGATGCTTGAGCAGATGATCATGCTGAATTGAACATGCCTTTCTGACTACAGTCCTTAGTAAGGATCTCTTATACAACACAGAGAAAAATTCATGGAAAAGCTCCACAATTTCATCTGAGATTCAGAAAATTAAATCCCCAAGTTTGCATAGAAACTCTACAAAAGAGGTTTCTTTGATCCATGAGGACAAGATATTACCAAAGCCAGACAGATCCCCTGGAGGAGCCAGCTGATCTCCAGTGAATGCTTAGTTCAGTCCCCAGAAACAACACATCACAGTAGGGACATGGGGCTGAAACATAAACTGAACACTGTGAAACACTATAAAAACTTGCCTAGCATAGCAGAGGATGTGACCAGTTCATGCCTTTCCTGAGATAAAAAAAAAGTCCCATAAATACTGTAAAGATCGGACATTAATAGAAATATAGTTCTGCATTAACATTTGAACATCCCCAAAACAATTTCATGAAGTTGCAATAGCTATATGAGTCATGAGTGTGTACCACTAAGTCTTCTATTTTCTCATGAGTTGAAGCAGCCTCCTATCAGAAAGCCACAGCATCTGTGATAACAAAACTCAACTTGATTTTGTGTTCCCTGCCTGTGTTCATTCAATTCATGTGAAGCACGTTTGTGGCACAGTTAGGCGAGACTTTGTCCTCACTCAGAAATTTCACTTTTTTCATCACTTCCCTATCTTCTGAAAATTTGGAACCAAATGAAATGTCCAAAATCAAATTAAGTACTGAGTCATGCTACAATACAGCTTAGTAGTAAAGTGTGTGCCTAGAATATGTAAAGCCCTGAGTTCCACCCCCAGTGGCACAAAGAAAAAACAAAAATCAGGTGAAATTAATTACTGTATCAGACATGCTTGAGCCCCCATGTCCTATGTAATGCATTGCTAACCTTAGCCCTGGTGGCCCTGCTTTTCCCCCTCACAGGAAGTCATATGTTGTCTTGCTATGCACTAGTCACCAGTAGGTACAGGTAAATCCCAAATTATACAGATTCCATGTTTCACAAACCGAACTAGATAAGGAAACTCATGAATCAGTATCCTCATCAGCATGCCAACAGGTTGCCTTTCCTGGCCTCTCATTTCATCAGCCCTTACATGGCCTAAATCTAGATGAACTGATGAAACAACCCAGGGAACGACACCTTTGAACCTTATAGAAATGACCTAAGTGGTATTTACTACCAGGTGAACAAATAAAGTACAAGGAACTCATCCTAAGTGCATTTAACAACTAGTATGACTTCACTCATCCTAAAGTGACAAGAATTAAAAAGTAACTCACATTAATAAGCTTAACTAAGATTCTTCACAGAATGTCCTTAAGTAGACAGTCCTCAGAAGATGAGTGCTGACCCAGGATCCTTGAAGCACACAAGCCCTGATACAACCTATACAGTGCCTCTGAGACTGTCAGAACAGAATTCTCTGGAATATTAGAAATATTCACTGTAATATCTCCTGTCTGTTCCTTAAGTTTTTATACTTTAAGTAGTATTTTCTCACCTGAATGGTAAAATGCAACATAATTCTAATTTATCTTATTCTGTTCTTTTACTAGTAAAATAACATGATTAGGTATAGGCTTTATTAAGGCAATGGCCACAATAATGTTTTATTTCAGCTCTACAAAGCCATTAGTAGGAAATAATACCTAAAGAATTGCTGAATATGTCATTCAATGCCACTTCTGGAAAAATCCACTCATAACTCAGCCTTAAGAAGTATAGGTTAAATGACTTTTGATCAATAAAATTACACTTAAAATGTTAGAAATGTATCTACCAATGAATAATTAAGATAGAGTTGGTGCAATTAAACTTATACAGAGACAATGACTCACCTGACAGTATGTACTGACATAACACTCCACTGAAACTCTCCTTTATCAATTGTCATTATAATGGAGTATTTTTTTTCTTTTTTGGCAAAAATAGAATTTAGATTACCATGGAAATAGAAACACTTGAAATTATGATTTTCTAAGTAAAATAACTTAAAGTTTACACATTCAGGAGTAGGAGCAACTGAAATTGGTGCAGAGATGGAGGCCTCACATGTACCCAATGGTATTTGCTTCCTCTATCTAAGATTAAGACTTCTCATAATATTTAAATTGTATTCTTCCAGTGTCTCAGGAGGCTAAGGCAGGATGATCACAAGTTCAAAGTCAGACTTAGCAATAGCGAGATCCTAATCAACCTAGCAAGACCCAGTCTCTAAATAAAATACATAAAAGAACTGGGAATATGGTTGTTGACCCTTGGTTCAATCACTAGTCTCAGAATAAATAAATGAATAGCATGTTTCTCTTCACGGTACATTCTGTAAGGTCACGTAGAAAAGAACACACTAAGGTTTGCCTGGACATAGGAAGGGGAGGGTGTGATTACAATAGGAGAGACAAGAGGTTCTGAAGTAATGACAGTACTCCATATCATGATTGTGCAGTGGTTACACAGATATATATGATGCACTGGAATTCAGTGTTCATAGATAGAATTGTACACCAAAGAGTTAATTCTTCTGTACAATAATTTTAAAAATAATATTTAAATCACCGTAATATAAAATGATTGCATATTCTATTTTTGTGAATGGACTTGCTCTAATACATAACATTACTTACTAAATTGGTGGGGGGAGCTCCAGCCATACCCACTGTGGAAGGCAAAATAGCACCATCAAAATTAATCGGACCCTGACCCCTGGATTGCCAGTTACTTTATATACAGGTGTGATTAAGTTAAGATCCTCAGATCTTAGAGAGTATACTGGATTATATGAAATTTGAAAGCAATCTTGTGTGGGCTTGCAAGAGGGACACTTGTCAATGGGAGAGAGATGCCAGGGTGACTGTGGAGGCAGAGACTGGAGGAGGTAGCCACAAGCCCAGAAATGCTTGCAGCCATCAGAGCTGGGAGGGGCCAGAAGCAGATTCTCCCTACAGCCTCTGCACAGATGCAGACCTACTAACACCTCCCTTCCAGCCCAAAGAAACTGATTCCAACTTCAGGCCTCCAGAATCATGACAGAGAAAAAACACTTCTGTTACTATAAGCCACCAAGTCTGTTACAGAAGCAAAAGGAAAACACACATCAACCATGGTGAGGGTCCAAAGCTTGAGCCTGTCTGGATCTGAGATATTGACCCTGTACACTGTGGCTGGAGGGTGTGTGTGTGTGTGTGTGTGTGTGTGTGTGTGTGTGTGTTCATTCTTTTGGATAAATTGTCACCTTAGTAAGATAGATCTTTTAGGTGAATAATAACATACCCTCTGTCTTATACTATAAAACTTAGTGATAAAATATAAGTTATGCTTCCCTCTCATCCCATGACCAGTCTTAGGGGAAGTGGACTAATAAGGAGTCTACTTCCTTCTCCAGGACAGGAGCTGGTGATAATATTGAGGGAAACAAGGACAGCCAGTTGAAGGAGGAGCCACAGCATTAGTTCCCATTCAGATGTTTTAAATCTAATTTATCTAAAGACTACAAGAACAAGCCAACTAGCTGATAACTCTAATAGCTAACATCCATAACTCAGTCAAGAGGAATCCTCCTCACCACATCAATCATGGCCTCTATTCATTCTTAGTATGAGAGCTCTTAAAATGCACCTACCTTTGACCAGAAGTTGGAGAATTAGGGATCTTATTTATACAGGTTCTTTACTTTCATTGATTCATCAGCATCTCTAGAAGATATAATTTTAAAAGAAATTTGTGATAATAATGTTTGATTCAGTCTAGACATGAGGACAGAGAGCTTTGTAGTGAGCCATCTGTGAATTTGCCATTAACCCAAATCTTTTTGTAACCCACTAGTAAGAGTTGAGTAAAGCAGTAGGAAAATATATGTAAATATTTTTTCACATACACTAAAAATAAAGGTAAAAGGTCAGTAAATTTAAATGTTGAGGAATAAATATAACTATATTTATAAAATGGAGTTTTAGCAAAAGAAGAAAGGCATAGAAAAATGTAAATAAATAGGATTTTTCAAAACAAATTTTGTTTTGTATAATTCTGGT